AAAAAAAAAAAAAAAAAAAAAAAAAAAAGAGCAATTTGGCAGCATTTCTGCCCTGGCCAAGTGCAGGGGCAGTTGACTGGGATGTGTGGGGAACACGAAGGAAAAGCCCCAGCGTCAAGCGAGTCAAAGAAGCAGCTCTTCAAACTGTCCCGACAATGGATGGATTCATTTTGGGCCACAAAGCGGCCCTTGAAGGGCCGAGGAATGTCGCCTGGGGAATGCCGCCCCCCTCCGTGCCCGGAATGCCRTCCAGGGTCTGGGGGGGATCCCAGAGAGGCGATTCCCACGAGTGGCACCAGTGGCACCCTAATGCTGGCGGAGCGAGGAGATAGCAACAGAGCCCGGATACCAGCAGCAGGCAGTGTCATCCCGACCCCCCAAGGGACACGGGGCATTGWGAGCCAGCTCCTCCTGCTGCCCCAGGCGGAGTGACGCACGGGAGGGAGCACGCGAGCCCCACCAGCCTCCTGACCTCCCCCAGGAGGATTTGGGTGCAGGGGGGTGGGCACCGCGCTGGGGCACGACGAGTGCACCAAGCGCAACACTGAGGCAATAGAAGGGTACATATATGTAAAAAATATATAAAATTGACAAAATGAAAGGAAGAGTTACAATTTAAAAAAAATAAAAAATGGAAAAAGAAAAGAAAAAATAAAAAATGGAGAATTGAAAAAGATGTGAAAAATCAAAAAAAGATTAAAAATCAAAAAAAAAATAGAGAAAAGCAAGGAGAAAAAGCCTCCCTCGCACTGCGATGAGGCAGCATCACGCGCGGGGCCGGGAGCTGGTGCGGAAGGGAGCGGACGGCGCGGGAGGGGGCTGCCAGCGCAGGCCCATCACCGCTGGCCCTCATTAAGTCAATGAGCTTCCTCTCACTGCACACCTCCACGCGGCCGCAGCTCCCAGGGTCGGGAAGCCGCCGCTCAGGCGCCCCCGGGATCCGCCACCAACGGCCGTCTCGGAAGAAGGTCCGAAACGGCGAGTGGCAAAACAGGCGGAGATGTCCCGGCCGCTGCTCCCGGGGCTCGCGGCCCGACGCCCGCCCTCGCCCACTCCGCTCCAAAGGAAAGCGCTTCCCTGCGGGCTGCATTCCTTGCACAGCGGGATAACCTGCTCCAAGAGAGCGCGCGCCAGCAGCACGCACCAGCCTTGAACCCTCCTAGGACACGCGCCGCTAGCGCCTTTCTTTCTCCCTTTTATTTCTCTCTAAAGCAACCCAGGAGCAACTGGGTTCAAAGCCTCTCAGGAGGAGGACCCTGGAGGTGCCAAGCAAACCCCAGGAGCCAAGAGGCTCAGAGGACGCCCCAGCGCCCCGTCCTGGCTTGGTGCCACCCTGATACTAACCAAGTGTCCCGTCAGGAGCAGGGAAAGACCAGCAGAAGCAGCATTTCTGGAGGACCTCATACTGCCAAATGTACTCAAGCCACAGCTGCTGGAGCAAGGGAAATGATRTGTCCAATGCTCTAAAAAGGTACCCTGCATGCTTAAGAGGATGCTCCATAAAATTTTGCAAACCCTCATGTTTTCACAAGTCAAACCAGACCCTCAGTCTGTCCCCAGTCCCTCCTGAACTGTCACTCTCCATCTTCCTACTACTTCCCAGCACTGACTGTGGCAGCTGGTTTAACCCAGGGAGCAGGTC